AATTTTCAGTGTAATATTTTAGATTAAGAAGACCTGTTTAAAGACTGCCAAGAGACACATATTAAAATTTTTGTTATAAGAAAAGTATTAAAGAAATTGCGAAAATTTAAAATGAATATTGTTGCACATTACGTAAAAAAAATTTTTTTTAACCCTTTAATGGCCGAGTTTTTTGTCGTTACTTTAGACTTATAATGTTGTGACGAAGTAATTCGTCACAAGGCAATTTTTGACTCGGGTTGAGTTTCGCGCGTTTTGGAGTTTGGAGCAGAGACAACGCAGGAGTCCAGGAGGTGGCGCCATCGCGGCGGCCACTCATGGAACGAGTCGGAGACGAAAGCGATCGAAGTAGAAATCAATGAGAGAATACACAGAGAGCGTGTAGAGTCTAGAGCGTGTGTCGAAAGACTTTTTGGAGTTGTGTTTTTTGAGAAAAGTGTCGTGTGACACAGTGTGTAGATAAAATAAAGGAAATAGTAAAAAGTGAGTGTGGGTGTTTTCTTTTATTTGGAGCAGATTCCAAAGAGATTCCTGTCCTTTTCGAGTCATCACAACAGCGGGGTTTTGGTCGACTTGTTGGATTCAAGGAGTTTGGAAGAATCACCAGAGTGTCTTTTTGTGAATTTGTCGACGTGGGTAAGTCCAATTTTGTTGTGTCGTGTCTCAAGGGTCGTGTCCCTTTTTGCGACTTTCGTTCTCGACAGAATCTCCTGTGAGATTTAATTTGATTGATTTTGAGTTTTGGGGTTATTTCGTGATTTTTCTGGTTTGCCAATTCCATTTAAAAATTGGCTGGCGTCTAACAATTATCACGTTGGGTTATCTTTTTGTAACTTAAAAAGGGGGTTATTAATTAATAACATTAATTAATTAAATAATTTCGTTATAATGTATATTAGATTTAATTACTAAAGTATTCAGTATGAGAAAAAATTTTTTTTAACATGTCTCACCCCTTAAAACCACCCCCACGGTATATTACTACCCCAAAAAACTGATATTTAACCAAATTGATGAATTAAATATTTTTCAGCTCTTATCTACTTTTTAATTATTTATAAACATTGCCTGGTTGCTTAAAAATTGAAAACGATCAATAACCCCTTGAAAACACCCTTAAAGTCAAATAATCATCCTTTGACGGTGAAAGTTTTTGTAAATGATTAAAAAAAATCTATAGATTCTAATTGCTTCTAAATTATAAACAATTATTTGAAAATTACACAGACATAAATAATAATAATAAAAATAAACTCACCCCCTACCCTTGAAGACCACCCCTAATTCATAACTATTCTCAGTTTGGAACAATCAAAAAAATAATTTTCACTGATTTTCGAAAATATGAAAAAAAAATTTTTCTATGATAACTAAGTATTAATACTGAATATAAACAACTCCTGAAAAACAACCCTAAAGTCCAATAACCACCCCTTAATGATAAATGTTTTTGTGAATAAATGAAAAAAATTATATGGATTCTAAGTGCTTCTGAATTGTAAAAAAGTATTTCAATGTTTCACAGATATGGATAATAATAATAAACTCACCCCCTACCCTTGAAATCCACCCCTAATTCATAAGTTATAAGATACTGAATTCAGTTTTCAACAATCAAAAAAATAATTTTCACTGATTATTATCATATTGAGTAATGCATTGAGTACATACTCAATGCACTCCCCTCCACGATGGCGTAGAGGGGAGTGCATTGGGTAAATGAAAGGGGGGGGTACGACAGTAGCAAAGAAGCTCCCATGTGGAACTGCTGTTATAAGCCAATCAGCGCGTCGTTTCGTTTCCTCTGTGTAGCGTTCTCCCACTACCCCACCGATTGAGCCTGGGTCTGTAATTTTCATTTTCATACTAAACTCCTAACAACAGGCACTAAAAGCTACAAAATTAATAGGCAATAATGACACCAGCATTATTTTGCAATTTTAAAAACTGACATCATATTCGTAATTATCGACCCCGAAAACCCCTGAGTAATAAGTTTCAGATGAATCTAATGAATGTTAATCATTTCGTCCGCCATATTAGATCCGCCATTTTCAATTTTCTAAATCTGATATCAGATTCGTAATCAGCGACCCCGAAAACCCCCCCAAGTGACAAGTTTCACATGAATCTAGTGAATTTTTATATTTATCGGTCGCCATATTGGTTCCGCCATTTTGAATTTTTGAAAACGGACATCGGATTCGTAATCAGCGACCCCGAAAACCCCCGAGTGATAAGTTTCACGCGAATCTAGTAAATTTTTATAATTATCAGTCGCCATTTTGGTTCCGCCATTTTGAATTTTTGAAAACGGACATCGGATTCGTAATCAGCGACCCCGAAAACCCCCGAGTGATAAGTTTCACGCGAATCTACTAAATTTTTATAATTATCGGTCGCCATTTTGGATCCGCCATTTTGAATTTTTGAAAACGGACATCGGATTCGTAATCAGCGACCCCGAAAACCCCCAAGTAACAATTTTCAAGCGAATTTATTAATTTTTAAAGGTTTTGGTTTTTAGGGGTAGTTTTAGTTATTTTTCTGCACCCTCGGGTTGAATTTTTAATATTAATTTTTTTTACAAAGGTTACAATATTTTTAAACATATGTTACTATGAAAGCCTGAAAAAAAAATTTCTTCTGAAATTTATACCTATATTTTTTTCTCATTTTTCGGGTTTTTTGAAGGGGTGTATTTCAAAGAGGGTAGTTTTTTAAAAAAATACATGTATTTACATTAGTTACTCTATTCCTCCCCTTCAAAATGAGATCTTAGTGGAGTTAATCGATTAAGTTTTAAGAAAGTTATGATTTTTTGAAGTAGGTGGGACGTATGTGTCCCACTGGCCATGAAAGGGTTAAATTAAATTTAAAAAGTTCGCAAAAACGCCGTGTTTTTGGGACAATTTTTCCCCCGTATAAAGAAGCAGGGCGTAGAAATACAAAATTTCAATGGTGAATTTTCTAGTGATATAAATAAGGTATCGAATAAATTTTTTTTTAAAACGGTTCTGTAGATTTCGAGACAAGTCGGCCACCAGTTTCAAAAATGTGTTTTCAAGAATAACGAAAATAAGGACGAATTTAAGGACAAAGAGGAGAACTGACTTGAAGACGAAAATGAGGACTATCTTCAAAAACGATAATGAGGACGAAGATAAGGACTAACTTGAAATAAAAATGAGAGCGAAAATGAAGACGAATTTGAGGACTAACTTGAAACGAAAATGAGGACGAATTTAAGGACAAAGATGAGAACTGTCTTAAGGACGAAAATGAGAACTAACTTGAAAACGAAAATGAGGACGAATTTGCGGACTAACTTGAAAAACAAAAATGAGGACGATAATGAGGACTAACTTGAAACGAAAATGAGGACGACTTTGAGGACTAACTTGAAAACGAAAGTGAGGATGAATTTGAGGACTAACTTGAAAAACAAAAATGAGGACGAAGTTGCCGACTAATTTGAGAAAAAAAATGAGGACGAAGTTGAGGACTAATTTGAGAATGAAAATGAGGACAAAGTTCAGGACTAACTTCTAACGAAAATGAGGACAATGATGAAAACTAACTTAAGAATGAAAATGAGGACGAAGATGAGGACTAATTTGAAAAACAAAAATAAGGACGAAAATGAGGAGTAACTTGAAAAACGAAAATGAGGACGAATTTGAAGACTAACTTGAAAACGAAAATGAGGACGAAAATGAGGACTTACATGAAACGAAAATGAGAGCGAAAATGAGGACGAATTTGAGGACTAACTTGAAACGAAAATGAGGACGAATTTAAGGACAAAGATGAGAAATGTCTTGAGGACGAAAATGAGGACTAACTTGAAAACGAAAATGAGGACGAATTTGCGGACTAACTTGAAAAACAAAAATGAGGACGATAATGAGGACTAACTTGAAACGAAAATGAGGACTAACTTGAAAACGAAAGTGAGGATGAATTTGAGGACTAACTTGAAAAACAAAAATGAGGACGATAATGAGGACTAACTTGAAACGAAAATCAGGACGAATTTGAGGACTAACTTGAAAACGAAAGTGAGGACGAAGATTAGGACTAACTCAAAAACTAAAATAAGGACAAGGTGAGGACTAACTTAAGAGCGAAAAGGAGGACGGAGTTGAGCCGTAACTAACTTGAAAACGAAAATGAGGACGAGAATGAGGACTAACTGGAAACGAAAATGAGAGCGAAAATGAGGACGAATTTGAGGACTAACTTGAAAACGAAAATGAGGACGAATTTGAGGACTAACTTGAAAAACAAAAATGTGGACGAAGTGAGGACTAATTTGAGAAAGAAAATGAGGACGAATTTGAGGACTAATTTGAGAAAAAAAATGAGGACAAAGTTCATTACTAACTTCAAACGAAAATGAGGACGAATTTGAGGACTAACTTGAAAGGAAAATGAGGACGAATTTACGAACAAAGATGAAAACTGATTTGAAGATGAAAATGAGGACTTATTTGAAAAACAAAAATAAGGACGAAAATGAGGACTAACTTGAAAACGAAAATGAGGACGAATTTGCGGACTAACTTGAAAAACAAAAATGAGGACGTTAATGAGGACTAACTTGAAACGCAAATGAGGACGACTTTGAGGACTAACTTGAAAACGAAAGTGAGGATGAATTTGAGGACTAACTTGAAAAACAAAAATGAGGACGAAGTTGCCGACTAATTTGAGAAAAAAAAAATGAGGACTAAGTTGAGGACTAATTTGAGAATGAAAATGAGGACAAAGTTCAGGACTAACTTCTAACGAAAATGAGGACAATGATGAAAACTAACTTAAGAATGAAAATGAGGACGAAGATGAGGACTAACTCAAAAACTAAAATAAGGACAAGGTGAGGACTAACTTAAGAACGAAAAGGAGGTCGAAGTTGAGTCTTAAGGGGTTATGCCACTCTAGAGACCGAAAAAATAGGTGTTTTATGTGAATTTTTTTTAGAAAAACCATAAAGTCAATTAAAAATATAATATAAGAAGTTTATTATACATCTTTTTAGGTGTAAAAAAATAATTTCTTATAAATATTTCTTGAAGAATGGTGGCGCTGTAGCGGTCGTCCTTCGACTCCTCTATGGTTCAAGGGGTACGTGGCCGAACTAACTGCTCCTGTAAATTTTGAAATATCTTGAGTATCTAAATTTTTTTTTATTATATATTACAATAGCTAAAGTAACACGTAGGATTTTTTCGATATATTGATTCATGATCAAATGGCGCACTTCTAAAGTTAAACTTTCTAATTTCGACTAAAAAACCATCAGTTAATAGTTAATAACAAATTAACTATATAGAATAAAAAAAAAATCCTACGTGATACCTTAAAAAATGTATTTTTAAAGATGTGTGTCAAATTTGAACCTAATCGGTTGGAAATTGTACGAGTTGTTGGTTCGGCCAACTCGAAAAATGTAGTTTGGAGATAAACGCGTTTAAAGTTTTAAGTTGTAAAAAACTTAAATAATTTCACAATACCTTTAATCTGCAATGCCTGCACCATATAATTGACCACTATAGTCTAGCAAGTAACTAGCGCCTTTGAAAACATCTGCCGTATACCTGCTGTAGATCCTTCAAAGATCACCCCCCGTAGAACTGACAAAATGAGCTCGCCGCGTACCGTGCAGCCTTGCAAGGAACTTCGAAAATAAATTATTTAGAGATTTTTCCGAGCCATAATCCTGCAATATGTTATTTCTGAGACCCTAAGGAACTATTTAAAGCAAAAAAAAAAAGCGATTTTTTGAAAATCCTAGAGTGGCATAACCCCTTAACTAACTTTAAAACGACAATGTTGACGATAATGAGGACTAACTTGAAACGAAAATTAGAGCGAAAATAAGGACGAATTTGAGGACTAAATTAAAAACGAAAATGAGGACGAATTTGAGGACTAACTTGAAAGGAAAATGAGGACGAATTTACGAACAAAGATGAAAACTGATTTGAAGATGAAAATGAGGACTAATTTGAAAAACAAAAATAAGGACGAAAATGAGGACTAACTTGAAAAACGAAAATGAGGACGAATTTGAAGACTAACTTGAAAACGAAAATGAGGACTTACATGAAACGAAAATGAGAGCGAAAATGAGGACGAATTTGAGGACTAACTTGAAACGAAAATGAGGACGAATTTAAGGACAAAGATGAGAAATGTCTTGAGGACGAAAATGAGGACTAACTTGAAAACGAAAATGAAGACAAATTTGCGGACTAACTTGAAAAACAAAAATGAGGACGATAATGAGGACTAACTTGAAACGAAAATCAGGACGAATTTGAGGACTAACTTGAAAACGAAAGTGAGGATGAATTTGAGGACTAACTTGAAAGGAAAATGGGGACGAATTTACGAACAAAGATGAAAACTGATTTGAGGATGAAAATGAGGACTTATTTGAAAAACAAAAATAAGGACGAAAATGAGGACTAACTTGAAAAACGAAAATGAGGACGAATTTGAGGACTAACTTGAAAACGAAAATGAGGACGAAAATGAGGACTTACATGAAACGAAAATGAGAGCGAAAATGAGGACGAATTTCAGGACTAACTTGAAACGAAAATGAGGACGAATTTAAGGACAAAGATGAGAAATGTCTTGAGGACGAAAATGAGGACTAACTTGAAAACGAAAATGAGGACGAATTTGCGGACTAACTTGAAAAACAAAAATGAGGACGTTAATGAGGACTAACTTGAAACGAAAATCAGGACGAATTTGAGGACTAACTTGAAAACGAAAGTGAGGATGAATTTGAGGACTAACTTGAAAGGAAAATGGGGACGAATTTACGAACAAAGATGAAAACTGATTTGAGGATGAAAATGAGGACTTATTTGAAAAACAAAAATAAGGACGAAAATGAGGACTAACTTGAAAAACGAAAATGAGGACGAATTTGAGGACTAACTTGAAAACGAAAATGAGGACGAAAATGAGGACTTACATGAAACGAAAATGAGAGCGAAAATGAGGACGAATTTCAGGACTAACTTGAAACGAAAATGAGGACGAATTTAAGGACAAAGATGAGAAATGTCTTGAGGACGAAAATGAGGACTAACTTGAAAACGAAAATGAGGACGAATTTGCGGACTAACTTGAAAAACAAAAATGAGGACGTTAATGAGGACTAACTTGAAACGCAAATGAGGACGACTTTGAGGACTAACTTGAAAACGAAAGTGAGGATGAATTTAAGGACTAACTTGAAAAACAAAAATGAGGACGAAGTTGCCGACTAATTTGAGAAAGAAAATGAGTACGAATTTGAGGACTTATTTGAGAAAGAAAATGAGGACAAAGTTCATTACTAACTTTAAACGAAAATGAGGACGAATATAAGGACAAAGATGAGAACTAACTTGAGGACGAAAATGAGGACTAACTTAAAAAACAAAAATAAAGACGAAGTTGCGGACTAATTTGAGAAAGAAAATGAGGACGAATTTGAGGACTAACTTGAAACGAAAATAAGGACGAAGTTGCGTACTAATTTGAGAAAGAAAATGAGGACGAAGTTGAGGACTAATTTGAGAAAGAAAATGAGGACAAATTTCAGGACTAACTTTTAAAGAAAATGAGGACAATGATGAAAACTTACTTAAGAATGAAAATGGGGACGAATTTAAGGACTAACTTGAACCGAAAATAAGGTCGAATTAAAGGATCAAGATGAGAACTGACTTGTGGACGAAAATAAGGACTAACTTGAAAACGAAAATGAGGATGATAATGAGGACTAACTTGAAAACGAAAATGAGGACGAATTTGAGGACTAACTTGAAAAACAAAAATGAGGACGAAGTGAGGACTAATTTGAGAAAGAAAATGAGGACGAAGTTGAGGACTAATTTGAGAAAGAAAATGAGGACAAATTTCAGGACTAACTTGAAACGAAAATGAGGACTAACTCAAAAAGTAAAATAAGGACAAGGTGAGGACTAACTTAAGAACGAATAGGAGGACGATGTTGATCCTTAACTAGAAACGAAAATGAGGGCGAAAAAGAGGACGAAGTTGAGGACTTAAATGAGGATTTGAGGACAATCTTCGAAATGAAAAGGAGGAATTTTTGAGAATTTTAAGTTGAAGGAAATTTGGGACTTTTTTGACTACTTTCTGTATAACGAAAATGAGGATCTGTTTGAGGTCTATCTTTATAACGTGAATGAGGTTATGTTTCAGGACTATCTTTAAAAATATATGAGAATTTGATTTATAACTTTAGAGTGAATAAGAGAACTGTTTTTAGAAAAAAAATGATGACGAATTTCATAACCATCTTTAAAATAGAAATAAGGACATGTTTGAGGACTATCTTTAGAACGGAAATGAGGATTAACTTTAGATCGAGATTGAGGATATGTTTGAGGACTATTGTTAGAAAGAAGAATGAGGACTTAATAAGTATAACATATTTTTCAGCATTTATTTACGATATTTTTTTAAAAAAGTAATTGTTAATTTATTATTAATAAGCTGAGAATTTTACATTTTGTTAAAAAGTAAAGTGTGTGGCAAAACGGGTTAGCAAACGGTGGGGAAAACCGTTTATACTCAAATACATTTCACTATGCATATTTAAATTGTACATCAAAAGAATCGACATGCATGTCTTGTGTTCGATGTTTAAGTTCGATAAGAAAATTGTTTACCATGTCGATGAATAAACGATAAAAAATTGATAGAAATTTTAAAAATTTCATTTTATTAGTTCTAACTGCTGTTATTCATCATATTATAAAATGATTTCGCCGCTGTCTCCAGCCCAAATGCGAAATCCAAACGGCCCAATACTGACCCAGTATTGGCACCGATGGCACCGATCCTTGGTAGACAATATTGGGCCGACTCTTGTGTTGTTAATTGCGGATAGACGTTGGCAGCCAAGTTTTAGACGCTATTACTGGGCCAATCTTGGCTGCCATTAGTGGTCCAGTATTGTCAAAGTTGGTCAGAGTCCGGCTCAATTATGGCAAATCAAAATTACCAAGTACTGGTGCCAATATTGGCCCAGTAGTGTAATAGAGTTCGGCCCAATAATGGCAAATTAGAGTAACCGAGAACCGGTGCCAATATTGGCCCAATAATGGGACGAATTTATCGCCAGTACTGGTCTAGTAACGTTTGTCGTACTTCGGCAGACATTACTGGGCCAATGTTCGGCCGTATTGGCAGTCTTGGTATTTCGCACATGGTAGTATAGTTTATTCCTTGTCAAGTATACCAAAGCCCTGTTTTTGTCAAGGTTAGCTTAGGTTAGGTTACGTTAGAAATGGGTCATTTCACATAAAGTATAACCAACCATTGTACTATCCTTGTTAAAAAAATGGGTTGGTTACACTTGATATAGAATTACCCATATATACCTATATTAGTATTTTAGTTCTAATTTTAACCTCAAAGACACAAGAAAATTGATAAATAATAATATAAATATTAAACAATTTTTTTCTTGCTAAAAATAATAAAATAAAACGGCTTTTTTAAAAATTGCAATTAATTTTTTTATTCTATGTATTACTTTTAACATTAATTTAATATATTTCATTTTTAAAATTACTTAGCGTCCTTGTCCTGGATATAATCATATTCTTCATCTGAATCATGCATTTTTCTTTTATTTTTAGGTTCCAATTGGTTAAATTTTTTCCTCAAGTTTGACAATCTTTGTTTCTTTTTAGCTTCCTCTGACAATTCCTGAAATGCAGGAATTTTAATTATTATTATTATTATTATTATTAATGTTACTGTTACTTTTTTGTTACTGTTACTTTTTTCTGTTACTGTTACTATTTTTCTGTTACTTTTTTTCTATTGCTGTTACTTTTTTCCTCTTACTGTTACTTTTTTTTAGTTGCTGTTATTTTTTTCCTGTTACTGTTACATTTTTTCTGTTGCTGTTACTTTTTTCCTGTTACTAGTTTTCTGTTACTGTTACTTTTTTTCTGTTGATGTTACTTTTTTGTTACTATTTTTCTGTTTCTGTTAATTTTTTTTTACTGCTTTCTGTTACTGTTACTTATTTGTTCCTGTTATTTTTTCTGTTACTTTTTTGTTACTGTTATTATTTTGCTGTTACTGTTTTTCTGTTACTTTTACTTTTTTTCTATTGCTGTTACTTTTTTCCTATTACTGTTACATTTTTTCTGTTGCTGTTACTTTTTTCCTGTTACTATTTTTCTGTTACTGTTTTCTGTTACTGTTACTTTTTTGTTCCTGTTACTGTTATTATTTTTCTGTTACTGTTTTTCTGTTGCTGTTACTTTTTTCCTGTTACTGTTATTTTTTTCTGTTACTGTTACTTTTTTGTTACTGTTATTATTATTAATACTTACATTTTCTTTATCGCTTTCATGTTCCTCACTTGTGTTGCCGTTATTTTCTTTCGCACTAAAAGAAAAACGCACTCTCTTTCGAGACATTCGATTTCTGGCACTGGAAGAAGCTAAAAATTAAAATTAAAATTTTTATTTGATTTTATAAAATATTAATTTTTTATTACATAAGCTTTGTTGTTTATATTCTTAAAAGTATTTTTTTAAAAAGCAAATTAGTCTAAATTTAATACATCATTTTTCTCAGTGTAAAAATTTAATAAAACATAACGAAGAAAAAAATAATTGCAGACACATTTCATCTGGTTGTATTTTTCAGATAACAAATAAATACAAAAAAATTTTAAAACGGGATAAAAATCTGACAATTTTTTACTAATATTAAAATTTTT